AGAGAACATGGACAAACGGGAAATAGCTGAGAAGTAGAAGGTCTCCGGGAATAAGGAACTGGGAGAGCATGGGATACAAGGGCAAACGCGAGGTCCGAGGTGGAGGCTGGGGTGAGCCTCACCAGCAAAAACCAGAAGAGCGGGCTCCCTGCTGCCTGTCTGGAGACTCTGCAGCTGCCTTCCAAGGGGCCACTCAGAGGGGACATGGAATGAGGAGCAACAGGGGAGGTGGATGAGGGCATGCCGGACAGCCTGGGAGGGACCACAGATGCTTGACTGATTGGTCAGCATTCAAGAAAAGGGAGAGTAGTGACGTCCCCGCCCAGTAGGAGAAGTTATTCTCTGTGCTCCTTGGACCTGTTGGTGGCTACACCCAGTGGGTGCTCAGGGAACGTTACATTACATGGCTAGCCGATCTCAGAAATGGCATGCAGTAGCTAATGTGAATTGAATGGAAAACTCTGGAGAAGATTTTGAAAATACAGTATTTACCAGGAGGCACTCCAGTCAGCATAGAAAAACCAGCAAACAAACAAACAAACAAACCCATGCATCCATTAGCTTGAAGAAGTCACCGTTAACCTGCTCTGAAAAGGGTCCCCATTGGACTGCACATACAACATGGCTTTCCTTGTCTTTGACTTTCTCCATGTCATTAGATCATGGTGTGTGTGTGTGTGTGTGTGTGTGTGTGTGTGTGTGTGTGTGTGTGTGTGTGTGTACATGTGCATATATGTAGGTATATGTTTATGCATGTGCTTGTTAAGGCTGGAGGGCAACCTCAGGTGTTGTCCTCAGGATCGGCTCACCTGATTAGGCTAATTAGCTGAGACTGACTGACAAGATACCCCAGGGACCCACCTGTCTCCTCCTTCCCAGGGCTGGGATTATAATGTGTATAACCCGTTTACAGGTGGGGTCTGGGGACTGAACTCGGATCCGGATCCTCACATTTGAGTGGTAAGCGCTGTGCTACCTGGCTGTGTCCTAGAACCTGCTTTATAACGTTTGAGTGGCATTTCCTTCTGGGCGTGAACTTCTGCTCTCTTGACTGTCTCTCACTCTGGGAGACTTGGGTTTTGATAAATGTTCTGTGCCGTGATGCTCTGGGGAGGTCTTCGTGCGTGAAACTGCTGCTTCATTTCGCACCATCTTAGGCTCCACACCCAAGACTATAAAGTTTTTGGACTAGAAGCTGTCAAATTTTAAAATCTCTCTCCTTTTTGCCTTGGGTATTTGATATTCTCTTGTTTTTAACTGTCTGGTGCCTCCTACATAGGCCTTAATCCAAAGCCATGTAGGCCGCGGGTTGGACACCGCTCCCCCTGTTCCCTGGCGCGTGTCATACACTGGCGCCATTGTCTGTGCCTGACATGGGGGTTCTGAAAATAGTGGGAGGCGGCCCCAGCTTGCCTTTCACTGGCAACCTCTGTGAGGTGAGAGCAGCCCCAGGCTGGCGGTGATCAGGGCTCATGGAAGGCTTTGGAGGGTGAAGTCAAGGCCGGTCATCGAGACTGCAGACAGACAGACAGACAGACTCGAGAGGCCCAGAGCCAGCCAGGGCACACAGGGATGCCAGCCTGAGGTCTGTGGACCTTTGCCACCCGCAGGAGCGTATGCAGGGCAGGACAAACAGAAGCCACTTCCAGATAGGGGTGTCTGCAAGGTGGGTGAGCCAAGTGGGACAGAGAGAAACCTGGCCGTCAAGGGCCCAGCTTCCCTGGGGGCCCGCTGCCCCCTTCCCTCGCCCTGGCATGCTTGCCCTGCTTTATTGAGACATAAGCTCTGAGGATCAGGTTCCTCTCGCCTACATCCACCCTCCAGAGAACCGGTGGTGGAGATGGGTGCGGGTGGAGGGGGGGTGGTCGGAGAATGGCCCCTAGGGTGGGGAGCCCTGTTCTCTGTGGTTCTGTTCCATGTCCCCAGGCCCCTGCCTGGTGTGCTGGCTTTGTGGGAGTGTTCATGATTTACATGTCAGCCCAGTCTGGGAGCCTCAGCATGCAGACCTGGAGGAAGGAAGGTAGGAAAGCTGTGGTCCCTGTGACCACACTTCTGCTTGGACCAAGGGGAAGGCACACTTGTAGGATGGCATGGGAAGAGGCTGCCCATTCCAGATACCTGTGGTCCAGACTCCAGCCACTGCCCACACCCGTCACCTTTTCCCCAAGCAGGACAGCCCAGCCCCACTTCCTGTGAGGGAAATGGGCCTTATGGGTGGCTCTCCACATGGCATACCAGATCTAGGTATCTTAAACACTTAGCTCTTGCGAGTCTGGCAGTCATCTTAGGATGTCGCGGGCCTTTCATTTTCCAGTAGAGCTATAGAATTACGTGGCGTCCGACCCCGCAGTCGACGTTCATAGACGACAAAGCCCGAGGCCTCACACTGTTGATCGTTTCTCACCCTGGTGGTGCAGCATTAGCAGAATTGTGATTCCTGGTTTATTAGCGGGCTGCTGCTCCACGCTGCTGTGAAGGGACCAGGGCCTGTGTGTTCTGACTGCTCTGGGATTGTCCACAGAGGTGGGCTGAGGCCAGTGTAGAGAGGTAGTGTGCACAGGTATTCTGCAGGGCCTCAGGGCCTCCATGTGGCAGATTCAATGGTCTCTCACTGTGCGTGCATATGTGTGTGCTTCTCCGTGTGGGGTGATCATGCATGTGCTGCCACATGTGCTCACACATGCATGTTCATACATGTGGGGTGGTCATACATGGGTCCACATGTATGGTGTAATCATATATGTGCTATCATAATATGTCCTTGTAAATATAGTGACTGTGTGTATGCTGTCAAGTGTGTGCAGGAGGGATCATGCACATGCTTTCATGTGTTCTTGTATGTACAGGAATGATAGTGCTGTCATATTATGTTTCTTCTCTCACATGTGGATGACTATGCATGTACCCTCATGTGTGGTTGCATGCATAGGGTGACCATGCATGTAATTGTAATGCATGTGTTCGTACAGACAGGGTGACTATGCTTGTACTGTCAAATGCATGGTCATATGTACATGAGAAGTACACGTGTTGTCATGCATGAGCTCACACATACTGTGTGACTGCACATGCTGTCATGTGTGTCTGTGTATATAGGGCAGTCATTCCTGTCCCGTGAGTGCCTGCTCCTCCTCAGCCTGAAGCCTTTCATTTGCAGGTGTGGAAGCTTCTCCATGCTTCACCCACCCCTGGCACATCCTCCCTTGGGGCACAGAGATATTCTTTGTCCCTCCTGTCACTCCTGTCTGGAAATGCTTGTGCTCTTTGCCACGTTCCCTTAGGATCTGGCTCTGATAATGTGATAATGAATGATCATGTTTAATGAGACGCCCCTCGCAGGTCACGTCAGTGCATTTTAATAGGGGCTTGCTGGAGAATACCTCAACCTCGAATCCCCTACTTTTTCATGAAACACTAGGTCACCTAGTTTTTCTGTCAGAGAAAGGAAGGGCAGAGGGGAGAGGGAGAGGGAGGGAGGGAGGGAGGGAAGGAGGGAGGGATAGAGAGAGAGAGAGAGAGAGAGAGAGAGAGAACGCACATTGCTCAAGTAAGTTTAGGAGGTGGTAAAATATGTCAGTAGCATGATATGTCACACATCAAAGTGTTTAAAATGATCTTAGTTAAGAATCGAGGCACCTCATGTGGCCTTCAGCCTCCAGTCGTGCAGGCAGCCTCAGGCCTGTGGCGGCCATAGGGGCCTACACTGCTGCCTTTCCTAATTAAAAATTATCAAGATAAAGTTTTCATAGCATCAAAGTGACCATTGTCACCATTTTTCAAGGTATAGTTCAGTGGCATCCAGAACATTCTTCCTGCTGGGCTGCCACCCTCATCTCCAAACTAGACCTTTCCTCATCTTGCAAAAGTGAAACTGTAGCCACGAGACATCATTTTCCCATTGACCTCCCCGACTCTGGCCCTGCACCCAGCACTGTCTTTCTGTGTCTTGACTGCTGGACAGACCCTACATGAGGGCACGCGGCAGTGTTTGTCCTTTGTAAGCAGCCGGTCTTCCTTCACGCGCTATCCTCAAGGCTCGCCCATGTCTTCGCAGGGCCAGGGGTCAGGGTTTTCCTTTCGAGGACTAGATGATGCTCTGTGGTGTGGATGACCACATCTGTCCATATGATGAATGTTTGCCTTATTTCTTCCTTTAGCTGTGTGTATGATGCTGCTTTGGGTCTTGGCGTGTGACAGTGGCCTTGGTCACCCTCTGGCAGTCTTTCATAGGTAGCACTGTGTTTTGTCCTAGATGTGATAAGCGTTTGTTTTTTAGTGAGAACCATATTATTTTTACTGCTTGCCATGAAGGAGTGTTTTTATTTATGGAAACCATTGAATATTGCCTGGGAAATATATTGTTCTAAAAAGAGAGCCGGGCCCCTCCTGATTTCAACAAATTTGCCATAAAGAAATCACAGGGGGCTCTCGAGTCTAATGAGGACAGCACGTGTGTGTGTGTGTGTGTGTGTGTGTGTGTGTGTGTGTGTGTGTGTGTGTGTGTGTCCCCGGGGCATTGGTGGGATTCCTTGTTTGTCCTCAGCGCTCAACCGAACTGTCTTTAAGAAGGGGGTGCTGGTTTGGTGCTGCATGCCTGTAATGCTAGCATCTGGGAGCTGGAATCGAGAGGATCGGGAGTTCAAAGCCAGCCTGGGCTACTTGAGACCCTGTCTGGAAGGAAGGGAGGGGTGGAGGGTGGGAGGGAGGCGGGGCAGAAGGGAAGGAGAATAGGGAGGCAGGAAGTGAGAGAGAGCAGTGTGGAGGTTTAGGCTTCTGTGCCGAGAAGTCCTGCACTTTGTGGGGGATGGCCTCAGGGTAGCCTTACTCCTGGCCTGCTGTGGTCCAATGGGCGGGCACATGGAGTTGACGGTGAGGTGGCCTTGTAGTCTGCAGGGAGCCTGGCTGAGAAACATCTTTTTAAAGATCACCTAACTGCTGGGGAGGCTGCGTCCTTGAAGATGATTTACTCCTTCTGACCGTGCTTCATTTTTCTCCCCTAGCTTATGTTCCCGAGGAAGAACTGAAGGCGGCCGAAATAGATGAGGAACACGCGGAGGATGGCGGGCTGCCTTTGGACATTCAGGACAGCGACTTCGTGTGCAGTGAAGAGACAGAGATCAAAGAGGCCCAGAGCTATCAGAATTCCCCGGTCAGCACCGCCACCAATCAGGATGCCGGCTACGGATCGCCCTTCAGCGAGGGCAGTGACCAGCTGGCCCATTTCAAAAGCTCCTCCTCCAGAGACGAGAAGGAGGAGCCGCAGTGTCCAGATAGTGTCTCCTACCCCCAGGACAGCTTGGCACAAATCAAGGCCGTGTATGCAAACCTGTTCTCCGAGTCCTGCTGGTCTAGCCTCGCCTTGGATTTAAAGAAGTCCGGTTCGAACACCAGCAACAATGACGGCAGCCAGAAGGAGAGCTCCACGCCGGCCCCCGCGCCCCCTACCAGCACCGCCAGCACCGCTGCCTGTACCACGGCCACCACGGCCATCACCAGCTGCAGCACCAGCACCAGCCACAGCAGCAGCACCACCAGTAACAACAGCAGCAGCAGCAGCAGCAACAGCTCTGGGTATGACTGGCACCAGGCCGCCCTGGCCAAGACCCTGCAGCAGACCTCGTCCTACGGGCTGCTGCCCGAGCCCAGCCTGTTCAGCACCGTGCAGCTCTACAGGCAGAACAACAAGCTGTACGGCTCCGTGTTCACCGGGGCCAGCAAGTTCCGGTGCAAGGACTGCAGCGCGGCCTACGACACTCTGGTGGAGCTGACCGTGCACATGAACGAGACGGGCCACTACCGGGACGACAACCGGGACAAGGACTCCGAGAAGACCAAGCGCTGGTCCAAGCCCAGGAAGCGCTCCCTGATGGAGATGGAGGGGAAGGAGGATGCGCAGAAGGTGCTGAAGTGCATGTACTGCGGGCACTCCTTCGAGTCCTTGCAGGACCTCAGCGTCCACATGATCAAAACAAAGCATTACCAGAAAGTGCCTCTGAAGGAGCCCGTGCCAGCCATCGCCAAGCTGGTCCCGTCCACCAAGAAGCGAGCGCTCCAGGACCTGGCATCCCCTTGCTCCCCGGAGCCCACGGGCATGGCCACGGAGGTTGCACTGAGTGAGTCGTCCAAGGACCAGAAAACGGCCAACCCCTACGTCACGCCCAATAACCGCTACGGCTACCAGAACGGCGCCAGCTACACGTGGCAGTTCGAGGCCCGCAAAGCCCAGATCCTCAAGTGCATGGAGTGCGGTAGCTCCCATGATACCTTGCAGCAGCTCACGGCCCACATGATGGTCACTGGCCACTTCCTCAAGGTGACGACCTCTGCCTCCAAGAAAGGAAAGCAGCTGGTGCTGGACCCCGTGGTGGAAGAGAAGATCCAGTCCATCCCCCTGCCCCCGACGACTCACACCCGGCTGCCTGCCTCGAGCATCAAGAAGCAGCCGGACTCCCCTGCAGGCTCTGTAGCCTCAGAGGAAAAGAAAGAGCCAGAGAAGGAGAAGGAGAAAGCTCCTCCTCCGGCAGCCGGGGATGCAGAGAGAAAAATCAAGGAGGAGACGGAGGACGCCGCTGAGAAATTCGAACCCACCACCCTCTACCAGTACCTGCGCGAGGAAGACCTGGACGATAGCCCCAAGGGGGGCGTCGACATCCTAAAGTCGCTGGAGAACACTGTGTCTACCGCCATCAGTAAAGCCCAGAACGGTGCGCCCTCGTGGGGTGGGTACCCCAGCATCCACGCAGCCTACCAGCTGCCGGGCACCGTGAAGCCGCTGCAGCCGACGGTGCAGAGCGTGCAGATCCAGCCGTCTTACACCAGCGGCGGGAAGTCACTGTCCTCCACAGAGCACAGCGCCCTCCTGCACTCCCCAGGGAGCCTTACACCCCCACCCCATAAGAGCAACGTGTCTGCCATGGAGGAGTTGGTGGAGAAGGTCACCGGCAAGGTCAGTGTGAAGAAGGAGGAGAGGCCCGCCGAGAAGGAGAAGGCCTCCCCGGTCAAGGCCGCCTCCCCCGTGGCAAAGGAGAATAAAGATCTTCCCAAGTCAGAGGAGACTGGGAGCAAGCCGCAGAAGAAGGGCGTAGACGTGGAAGCTGGGAAGGCCAAAAAGGAGGGTCCGTTGGATGCTCACACCCCAAATGGTACAGAGCCTCTTAAGGCCAAGGTCACCAATGGCTGCAGCAACCTGGGCATCATCACAGACCACTCTCCGGAACCTTCGTTCATCAACCCCCTGAGTGCCCTGCAGTCCATCATGAACACCCACCTAGGGAAGGTGTCCAAGCCTGTGAGCCCCTCTCTGGACCCGCTGGCGATGCTCTATAAGATCAGCAACAGCATGCTGGATAAGCCCGTCTACCCCACGACCCCTGCCAAGCAGGCCGATGCCATCGACCGCTACTACTACGAGAACAGCGACCAGCCCATCGACCTGACCAAGTCCAAGAACAAGCCCCTGGTCTCGGGGGTGGCCGATGCTGTGTCCTCGCCCCTGCGGGAGAGCGCCCTCATGGATATCTCAGACATGGTGAAGAACCTCACGGGCCGCCTGACTCCCAAGTCCTCCACACCCTCCACGGTGTCGGAGAAGTCGGACGCGGACGGCAGCAGCTTTGAGGAGGCCCTGGACGAGCTGTCCCCTGTCCACAAGAGAAAGGGGCGTCAGTCCAACTGGAACCCGCAGCACCTGCTCATCCTCCAGGCCCAGTTTGCCTCCAGCCTCCGGGAGACCGCGGAAGGCAAGTACATCATGTCGGACCTGGGTCCTCAGGAGCGGGTGCACATCTCCAAGTTCACGGGCCTCTCCATGACCACCATCAGTCACTGGCTGGCCAACGTCAAGTACCAGCTGCGGAGGACAGGGGGAACCAAGTTCCTTAAGAACCTCGACACAGGGCATCCTGTGTTCTTCTGTAACGATTGTGCCTCTCAGTTCAGAACTGCCTCCACGTACATCAGCCACCTGGAGACGCACCTGGGCTTCAGCCTGAAGGACCTCTCCAAGCTGCCACTCAGTCAGATTCAAGAGCAGCAGAGCGTCTCCAAAGTCCTCGCCAACAAGACTCTGGGCCCCCTGGGGTCAACCGAGGAAGACCTGGGCTCCACATTCCAGTGCAAGCTCTGTAACCGGACTTTTGCGAGCAAGCATGCAGTAAAACTGCACCTTAGCAAGACACACGGCAAGTCGCCAGAGGACCACCTGATCTATGTGACCGAGCTGGAGAAGCAATAGTGTCCAGGTGTGCAAGGGACCGTGGAACGTTGCACTACCATCCTGATTGTGCTGCACTAAGGCCTGGCCTGAGCCGCTGAAATCAGTCTTTCCTTTGTTGCTGAACTGCCTATCTGGACTTGGTTTTTCTTACACATATTTTGTAGTTATATTTATATGCTCTTTGTCTGATCTGTGCATGTTATTTTTCTTTTTTTCCGTGAGTCAAAGTCTGACCTTTATTTTCAGCATCCCTTCTTGATGTTAAGCTATCTTTTGTAGGAAATAGTGGGGCACGCTCGGAGACATTGTTTAGCGGTAAAGGAAGATACAAATAGCAGCGATCAAGAGACATCCTAAAATTACGAAGTTGCCATGACAATAAAGGTCACAGGACCTGGTAGTGTCGAGTTTAACCCTTTGAGGACTTTATCTCTGTGCCTTTCACTCAAAAATTAAAAAAAAAAAAATTTAAAAAAGAAAGAGAAAAAAAGGGGGAAAAGGCGCTTAAAGGCATCTCATTCAGATCAAAAGCTGTGTCAGACACAAAACTTATTTAATAATTAAAAAACGAGCTTTTATATGCAGGACTGGTTTGTGAAAAGACATGCATGCAGCGGTCGGAGACAGAGAGCTGTCTGGGACTCACGGGGTTAGGAAGCCACAACTTTATATGTTCAAAACAAAAACAACGTATACCCCAGTTGCCACTGTGCCCAAACCCTCTGGATGCTGAAAAATGCCACTTTTGGCAAAAAAAAGTATGCAAGCTTATTATTTAAAAAAATGTGTAAAAAATGCTATTCTTTTTTTTTCTTTGTTCCTGTAAAATACTGCAGTTTATAGTTATTTACAAATGTAAGCTTTGGTATCAGCTGACCTTTCTATAGCGTGATGCATTGGTAAATGAAAAAAAAAAACACAGAAAAAAAAAAAAACAAAAAAATGGGGCAAATGTTGGATCCTTTCCTTGTGAATAGAAAAAAAAAAAAACAAAAAAATGGGGCAAATGTTGGATCCTTTCCTTGTGAATTGCCAGCGTCAGCTTACACACGCCTGTATGTTACATATCATATCATTTTAATCTATTCAACTTCCTTTGTACCTTCTGGCTGTATGCTTTCTCTTTTAACTTTTTATATTGTCATTTTATATTAAATTTCTGTGTATATAATGTAAAACCACAACTTTTGGATAAAATTTAGTTCCTGCAGCTTGATTTAAATAGAGAAATTTTACTGGCACCTGCATCTTCTCAGATGCATGTACTCAGAGGAACTATCAGACAAAAATAAATAAATAAAAACAGAGCAAGCAATGCACTATTAATTATACATTTTGATGTCCCGTCATTAATACTGTACAGTACATTTTGGTTCACACAATTAAACCCACTGTTTTCTCAAATGTAAAATAAACCCACACGCAGTTCTTGATTTACACAGATTGTCATGTCGTCATTATTTTCCCTTTGAGATGTTATTTCAACCACAAGAGGTATTGCTTATGCAATCAACCAACAAAAATTTTTATTCAGACTCATCATTTCATGATTTGTGTGTTGACACCCTTCATTCCGATGAGAAGTACTGGATGTTTAAAAGTGATAATTAACATTCATCCCTCCACAGGGTGCCAAGGCTTCCCAGAGTTCAGTCCTTTGGTGATGGCCACTTGGTCCCTGGATGGACCGTGGTGATTCTTTCAGATAATCCTTGCAAACTGTTAGAAATAGCTGTCATCAGCCCCTGGTGCACACCTGGGCTTCGTGGCCAGGAAGCAGGCAAGGCCTCACAGCAGGCAACGCAGGCCCTGTGGATCTTGGACTTAGTTTTGCTGCAAAGAGGAAAACCTAGTTTGTGAGCTTTACAAAATGTGCTTTTAGATGATCACGTTTGGCGGTTTTTCTCTTCAGTCATTGAGTGGAGACTTAGTTTTGTCATTTCCAAGGCGCATGAGGGCTCCACCAAAAAGGTCCAGCACTAATCCTGAGATGTCATGACTCTACTAGATTCCTGACGTTGTTGCCCTGGTCCATTTTCAGCAACCAAGGACACTGAGACCTCTGGTCTCCTCCCTCAAAACACTTAGTAACATGTGTAGTTGGTCTTTGTTTTGTTTTGTTTTTTACCATTTGCTTAAATTTTCATAGAATTATATCCCAAGAAAGGTAAGAACTCATACTATGTTCAGAGGTGCCTAAGCAGTCACGATGTCTTGATGACTCCCTGGCTTGCTCCTAGAGGTGAGGATCCATCCCATTTCTGCCAATGGCTGGAGGAGCTGGCACAGGGCGGGCCTGGCCAGTCAAGTTTGCACAGGCCTCTGCACAGGGAGGCTTGCTGAATTTTTCTAACTTTTTTCATTGGCAAATAGCTGTGTCCTTTAGGAGTCTTCAGCCATTAGACACACCAGTTCAACTACCAGGGGACCATATATGTTGGGCCGGAGGGGTTGACAGTGGGCTAGCATTGAGGCCCAAGGCATGGACAGGGGTCCTTGCATAACCACCTTTGGACGACAGATCCGTGAACATTTCGCCCTCATAGCAAGAGCTTCGAAGCAGCAGTGAAGGCGAGCAGTGGGAGGTGAGAGTTCTGAGGAACAGCCCGATGAGGACAGTCTTATGTCCTCAATGCAGCTTGAGTTCTGATCCCTGGGGGACAGATACAGAATTCCAGATTATTTTCTTATTTTTTTTTCTTTGCAATTCCTCAGCTTATTGGCATATTATCATCATTCCAGTTCCCCAGTTGGTGGGTGGAGGTTATCGCAACACCACAAAGATGGCGACCCCAGTTGACATCACTGAGTGCTTCCACAGTCCCAGGTCCTACTCTGTGCTGCACCTGTGAGCGCGACCCTTCCTCACAGCTCTGCACCAGGTCCCTGTCAGCCCGACTTGCAGACCTGGAGAGCAGTAACAGCAATGGGCAGGCCTTTATCCTCGTCACGTGGCTTGTCATGGACAGAAGTTGGACTTTGAGCCCCTGAGTACTTATTGAGGTACCAGAGGATGGGTCCCAGGTGAAAAACTCTGATTTGGTCCCAGGAAGAGGCCAAGGAAGTTTTGTTTGTTTGTTTTGGTTTTAACATGGTGATGAGCTAGAGCATCGCCCTAGAAAATGGAGAGCTGAAGTTTGGCCTGTGTTGGTGGGCAGCTACCAGAGCAGTAATAGTAAACAGACATCCTAACATCCTTCTAGCCGCCTCCAACTGTGGCTGCAGAGGTCACACGCTTCGGTGACTTTATCTTCTGCTGGATCTGGAAAATAAGTCAAAATGACGTTGGCTGTGAGTTTATAACTGGAACTGCACAGTGGATGCCCAGTGACACAAACACTCAATTTGGATAGAAAGAAAGAGATAGAAGGTCAGAGAGAGACCTTCTGGCTGGTAGAGCGTTTGCCATGGTAGCAGAGCACCCGAGATGGATTCCCCAGAGCCAGGTGCGCAAAGTCAGGTGTGATAAGCACACACTTGCGATCCCAGAGCAGCGGAGGAGGGGGAAAGGTAGACCCTGGGCTCATCGGCCGACCACCCTAGCCTGCTTGGTGAGTTCCAGCCTAGTGAGAGACCCTGCCTTCACAAACAAGTGGATGGATGGTTCAGGAAGAATGGGACCAAGGTTGTCCTCTGACCTTCACACACATGTGCATGCATACACGCACACACATGAGCATACACATGGACACAAATAGACTAACCGGAGGGATAAATCAAATGCTCACCATTCCTTCACTGTACGGGGGCAAGCATCTACCATTTGTCAGTCCCAGACTACAGGTTTCTGCACACCATGAGATCCTCCCTGTTTCTCCCTCCTTGTCCCTCAACCCTGAGGAGAGTGGTTGGGTGGGGGCAGGTTACCTGTACCCTTGGGATGTGGAAGGAGGTAGGGAAGTCAGATGGCTGCTCCTTTAGTCCAGCATTTTTGTTGGGTCAGGCTGACAGTTGTGCCTATACAAAAATAATCATGGTTTGCATTTAATCTGTGGTATGACCATTAGGTTTAATGACTGATTAAACACTTTCCCCCTTCACATGCAGGGTTTTAAGAGCTCGAGCTGTTTCTCTGAATGTGGGTTGTTGTTGTTCAATCAGTATTTGAGGTGGGATAAAGTCTGTGAACTAACACTAGACAACAGTTTATATAAGAGAAACTAGCATTTAGGTAGTGCATGGAAAAGGGAATATTTAAACACTTCAAGATGCATGTCTCTCATGGGCGGAGAAACAGGCAGGTAAAGTGCTTGTTGCACAAATATGAGGGCCAGAGTTGCTCATCTCTGGAACCCGTGCAGAAAGGCCAGATGTGGTATCAATGCTCGAATAAGCCAGCTCTGGGGAGGGAGACCCAGGAGGATCCCAGGGACTCACTGTCCAGGTAGCCTCGACTAATCAGCTGGTTCCAGGCCAACGAGAGACTACATCTAAAGGTGACAGATGGGATGTCTAAGGACGACTTCCCAGGTTGGCCTTTGGCCGCGCGCGCGCGTGCGCGCGCACGCGCGCACACACACACACACACACACACACACATGTTCACATACACATGAACATGGACACACATACACACATAGCTTTCCATTTCGGTGATTGATAATCTTGAAAAATCTGTCTAGCTGGACGTTGTCATACACACCTGAAATCCAGCACTCAGGAGGCAGAGCAGGTAGATCTCCGAGTCACAGGCCAGCCTGGTCTACATAGCAAATCCAAGGCTAGCCAGGGCTACATGCTGAGATTCTGTCTGAATTTTAAAAAGAAAGTAAGCTGTTGATCTGAGACAAATGACATCTAGCCAGTTCTGAATTCTCAGAAACCAGGACACACAAATAATAATTTCAGTATTTTTATTGAGCATAGTATTTTTGTTATTTATTATAATTTTGTAGAAGACAGCAGATTCTATTGAAATTTAATCATTGAACTATACACTTCAGAGACATGGAAAAGTAAAAGTTGTTTTGAAGAGAACTTGAGCTCTTGCTTAACTTTGATAACAGAGATTGAAGAGACATGCTCGTCCCAGAAAATCTGAACAACAAAAATAAGGAAATAAACACCACTGTCTACAATGTAGAGACAGTCGCTGCTCCCCGCCCCCCCATTGTAACAAAATAGGGATCACATTGAACATAATTCCTTCCTTTTCTTGCCCAGCAGTTGATGGGTTGTGCATCTCTCCTTGATTCTTTTAAGTACTGATTATTTGAAATCTTACCGGGATGTACTTTAACACAATCAAGTACCTAATAGTTAAAAATTTTAAAGTAACCCTTAGGTTCATTTATAGATTTTTCAGTCTTCCTCTCAATATTTTTGGAAATAGTTTTGATCACATCCTTAGAACCCAGTGCTTGTAGTTGGAATTTGTCTCATGGTGTGGTGACACACGTGATCCAAAAACCCACAGGCAAGCTAGAGGAGGCAAGCCCTGAAGACAGCCCCAACCTGCTCCGCTTCGCC